CCCGTGGGGGGGGAGCGGGGAGAATCCTGGGAGGAGGCAGATGCAGGGGACTCTCTGCCTCCACTGCCCCCCCCTTCCTGTTCCCTCTTCCCCCGTTCCCTCTCCCCACTGCCCAGTTCCCTCTCCCTAGTCACAGAACTCTGTCCCCATTCCCCTGTCCCAGGCCACAGAACTCTGTCCCCACTAGCACCCTGCCCCCTGCCAAAGCACTCACTAGCACCCTTCCTCAGTACTATGTCCCCTGTTCCCACCAATACAGTTGGGGCCACATTAGTGAAACTTGAGGGGGTGGGGATGGAGGATGGTTTTTTGCATCTCATTTGTGTGGCCCCAACTGATTTTTTTTTTTCTTGAGTCAGTGACCCCTGACTCAAGACAGGTTCCCTGCCCTTTTCAGAAATAGACAATGCAGAAACTTTGTTTGACAGTATTTTATTTAAAAATGAAGCCTGGCCAACAAACCCCAAACTGGGGCCAAGAACCCATCTGGCCACAGCATCATAACACTCCTGCGCTCCCCTTTCCCCCAGACCCTACATCTGACCCTGTCATATTACTGGAACCCCCTGCTGTGTGCCCCTCACATACCCCAACCCAAATTCCTGACCCCTCACATCCAGAAGTCTGTGGCTTGCTTAATACCCTAACCTTACATCTGACCCCAACACTGCCCGGCCTGGTGCTCTCTTCCCAAGCCAGTGTCCCCATATCTACCTTCTCCTGAATCCAGATTTCCTCTCAAAGCTTGCACCTCTCACCCCTTCCCACACCCAAATCCCTCATTAGACTAAAGTATTAAAAACAAAGGTGATGTCATGCTAGGAGTTTACTACAGGCCACCTACCCAGGAGGAAGAAGTGGATGAGGCTTTTTTTTTTTTAAACAACTAACAAAATCATCCAAAACCCAAGATTTGGTGGTGATGGGGGACTTCAACTATCCAGATATATGTTGGGAAAATAACACTGTGGGGCACAGACTATACAATAAATTCTTGGACTGCTTTGGAGACAACTTTTTATTTCTGAAGGTTGAAAAAGCTACTAGGGAGAAAGCTGTTCTAGATTTGATCCTAACAAATAGGGAGGAACTGGTTGAGAATTTGAAAGTGGAAGGCAGGTTGGGTGAAAGTGATCATGAAACCATAGAATTCACAATTCTAAAATAAGAGCAATGAAAGCCCTGGTCTTGCTCCCATGGCAGCAAATGGTAAAATTCTCATTGACTTTAATAGTTTAGGATTGGACCCCCAAACGGCCCTTTGAATGATTTAGTTTCTTTTATCTCTGAACTGTATTGCACAGATGATAATGAGGATGAAGTGCAGTTGCACCAAAACATTGCCACATTGAAATGCCTGCAATGTACTGAAATTACACAGATAATTGCTAATACTGATATAGATCTTAATTGAACTAATTCTGCAGTGCAATGAAAGTTGTAGTGTAGACCATCTATCCAAATCTTATGGGATACCACTAAACAGAGATAATTACAATCTTGTATTTTTGAGGTCATCTGAATCCCTATATTGTTTTTGTAATTTTTAGTGAAGATTATCACATTTAGTAATGCTAAAGAAAAAATATAAAAATATACTGCAGAACTGGCATACACTGCCAAGTTTTGGCCTTGGTGACTGCCCCAAGGGGCCCCTTGATTTAACCCATCACACTATCCTAAACTCCTTGCTTCAAGTCCTGGTCCTTATGGACAATCATGAACAAAGCTGGATCCTAGCTAGATAAGTCTAGCAATTTTAGAAGGTAAAATAAAAAAAAACGAAGTTAAAAATCACCTAGAAAAGTTAGATGCCTGCGAGTCACCAGGGCCTGATGAAATGCATCCTAGAATACTCAAGGAGCTGATAGAGGAGATATCTGAGCCTCTAGCTATCATCTTTGGAAAATCATGGGAGACAGGAGGGCAAATATAGTGCCCATCTATAAAAAGGGAAATAAGAACAACCCAGGAAACCACAGACCAGTTAGTTTAACTTCTGTGCCAGGGAAGATAATGGAGCAAGTAATTAAGGAAATCATCTGTAAACACTTGGAAAGTGGCAAGGTGATAGGGAACAGCCATCATGATTTGTAAAGAACAAATCAAGTCCAACCAATCTGATAGCTTTCTTTAATAGGATAACAAGTCTTGTGGATAAGGGAGAAGTGGTGGATGTGATATACCTAGACTTTAGTAAGGTGTTTCATACGTCCTCGCATGATATTCTTATCTATAAACTAGGGAAATGCAACTTAGATGGGGCTACTATAAGGTGGGTGCATAACCGGCTGGCTAATCGTACTCAGAGAATAGTTATTAATGGTTCACAATCCTGCTGGAAAGACATAACAAGTGGCATCTTCAGTATCGTCATCAACTATTTAGATATTGGTATAGAAAGTATGCTTATTAAGTTTGTAGATGATACCAAGGGATTGCAACTAATCTGGAGGATAGGGTCATAATTCAAAAAGGGGGCTTTCTGAGCTGTGGAAACGCGCTTGAGAAGAAACCAGACTCAGAAACAGCATCCTGCTTCTTGACTCTGGCCTAGAAAAGCTGAACTGAGCAATTCTCAGCACAACAAGGCCTGTCACAGGGGAGAAGGATACGCTGGCCAACTCGGAAATGCTCAGGAGCTGTTAAGAGTGCAAGAGCAAAGCCCAGTTTGTCAGGAGTTAAATGCTCTTTTCTTGGGAGTTGCACTTTAGATCCACCCATTCACTGCGCTTTTGAAATCACTTGTTTGCTGTCAAGCTGACAGCTCTTGAGAAAAGAACTTTTTTTCTTTTCCCCTTTAGGTGGGACAGCTTCCTGGGATAGGCGAAGGTTGATGATGTAGATGGAAAAGGATTTAGAAAAGAGAAGATTGAGGTGGGACAGAATAGCAGTGTTCAGGTATCTAAAAGGGTGTCATAAGGAGAAGGGAGAAAACTTGTTCATCTTGGCCTCTGAGGATAGAACAAGAAGCAATGGGCTTAAACTGCAGCAAGGGAGGTTTAGGTTGGACATTAGGAAAAACTTCTTGTCAGGGTGGTCAAACACTGGAATAAATACATCTGACCCCAACATTGTCCAGCCTGGAGCCCCCTCCCCGAGCCAGCATCCCCTTCTCCACCTCCTCCTGCATCCAGATTTCCTCCCAGACCTTGTACCGCTCACTCCTTCCCACACCCAAATCCCTCATTCCCACCCCAGAGACTACCCCACATCCTGTCCCACCCCACATCCTGTCTCAACCAAGCGAGGGTACAGCTAGACTGCAGGAGTTTTTCAGGATTCCGGAGATATCCCAGAAAAACTCTTCTGCATCCATGGATGCATTTGTTCTTCCACTTTTTTTTTAGTGGAATAGCAAACATGATCTTTCGGTCACCTCTATATTTCTCTTTCCACGAGGAATAAGGGGGCTTCCAAAAGAAGGGATTTTTCTGACATTTGGTCCAGTCTAGACAGGCCAAATGTTGGAAAAACCTCTTTCTACAGAAGAATTTGGGGAAAAAAGCAGCGGTATAAGGGTTGGGGATAGCAAGTGATGGAGAGGAGGAGAATAGAGGGCGGAGCTTCAAGGAAGGGACGGGGCTTCAAGGAAGGGGCAGGGCGGTAGATCTGTGTGGAAAGGTTGGAGACCACTGACCTAGGGACATGAACAAATAGTCAAGTACTACTTGATAAGCAAGAGCTTATTGGATAGCACTAACAACTACTTAATCTCCCCCACTCCCTCTGTCACTGCTCTGCACTCTTAAAGGGACAGAGGAGCCGACATGCAAAGAAGCTGGCTCCCCCACTGAGTCTCAGGACAACGTCCCACTCCACTGCCACTCTGAATTCTTAAAGGGACAGACGCAATAGCCCATAGTACTACTTGATAAGCAAGAGCTTATTGGATAGCACTAACAACTACTTAATCTCCCCCACTCCCTCTGTCACTGCTCTGCACTCTTAAAGGGACAGAGGAGCCGACATGCAAAGAAGCTGGCTCCCCCACTGAGTCTCAGGACAACGTCCCACTCCACTGCCACTCTGAATTCTTAAAGGGACAGACGCAATAGCCCATCCCACGGGTCTCTCACTTTAAGAGCTCAGAGTGGCAACGGAGGGCGGGGGTGTATGGAGGGTCTTGTGTCGAAAACCTGTGCAATTGGCTGCTTTCAGCACAAGCCCCTCCACACCCCCCCCGCCCCCCATTGCCACTCTGCGCTCTTAAAGTGAGAGACCCATGGGATGGGCTATGGCTTCTCTGTCCCTTTAAGAATTCAGTGGCAGTGAAGTGAGGAGGGATTGTGCTAAGACATGGGGGCTGGCTGCTCTGTTCCTTTCAGAATGCACAATGGCAGTATGCATGTGTGTGTGTGTGTGGGGGGGGGTTGTCCTGAGATCTGGTGGGGGACCAGAGCCAGCATCTTTGCATGCTGGCTCCCCTCTGTCCCTTTAAGAATGCAGTGTGTCTGGGGTGGTGGTGGGGGAGGGAGAATTGAGGGCTTATGCTGAAACTGTCCTTCCTTAACTGACTGGGTGAGTAGTTGATGGAAATTCCATTGACTACTGGACTAGCAAATTAATTGCTGCTTAACATCCCTACTCAACATATTTGGAATTGTAGCAGGGAAAGTGATTGCTTTTACACGTAAGAAAACACTATTGGCAGCAACCAAAGCATTGAAGTTGCCTGTCTCCAGACTCAGGAAGACAGTATTGCAGTTTTATGTTTGGCTTCCATTCAGAAGATCATCTTCCCAATCATAAGAACTAGGAACATAATTTCTTCCGAACTCTATGTGACTGGACTTCCATGCATGCCAGGGACAACTTTCTCTTTACAACTGTTTAGAGGGGGAGTGGATTTTCAAGTCTTCATGTTTATATATCATTGTGTTTCCTTTCTAACTGAAAGAAGCTTTGTGACACTTTCTTTCAGCTAGGCAGAGAGAACATTCTCTTCTCCAAGGACAGTGCTGATAATCATTCATCAGCTGGTTGGCAGAGAGTACTCTATTGTATTTTTCTTCCTTTCAGTCAGAGTAAAACTGTCACTGTCCAGGGGAACCTTGTTTTTGTTGGTAAGAAAGCAGGATTATGTGTGTCATTTATAATCTGTCATCAGTTCAATGCTATTTGCAGGAAGAAACTTTGAAGACATTTTTAAACCTATAAATCGGGAGTCCGGTTGCTTTGAGAATCAGAGGGGTAGCCGTGTTAGTCTGGATCCGCAAAAGCGACAAGGAATCTGGTGGCATCTTATAGACTAAGTTGTATTGGAGCATAAGCTTTCGTAGGTAACGACCCACTTCGTCAGATGCATGTGACGTCTCCTAAGTGGGTCTTTGCCCACGAAAGTTTGTTCCAATACATCTGTTGGTATATAAGGTGCCACAGGACTCCTTGTTGCAGTTGCTTGGAGTACTTAGTTTTTGGCAAAAATCTCTACTGTGGAAATTCTCAGTCATATGTACAATTTGTCTCTGGCTTATGCTTGTTGGTGTCATTGGGCTGCTGATTTAAAACCTCATTTAAGAGCTATATCTTATTTGTCTTGTGTTTATCACTTCTCTAACTTTCTTTTTTATGTTCACAGATTTGTTTGTAAATGCATCAGAAAGAGGCAGCACAGAATGAAGAAAGCAAGTAGGTCTGTTGGCTCAGTGCCCAAAGTGCCTGGAATAACTAAAACTCAAACAATAGAAAAAATCAAACCAGAAAACAGCTCCTCAGTGTCTACAGTAACAAAACTTTCAAAAACTGGGACATCAACTTCCCTGCTGAAGGTAACCTCCCATAGACTGCCTTGTTTTTTGTTTTTTTTGTTTTTTTTTGTCTTGTCAGTAAAGGATGTGGAAGGTTAGAATTTTAAAATCAGTAAACTAATGCAGTGGAAAACTGGGCTTCATGATCTCTCAATGAATGAAGAGAATCTTCATAATTATACAGTACAGGACAGAATGAGAGATTACTAACTGTGGTCATTGAATTTTGCTGCTTTTGATGTGTATGAAACTTATAACTTTCCAAACTTTTCTGTAAAAAGGGCAGCATGGAAACTGAGCTGCCTTCCACTGGGCATTATTATTGCTCTGAGAGGGAGTGCCATGTGTTGCTCTTTAAATACTTTCTTTGACAGACTCATGGGGAGTGATGATAGGGTGTGATAAGTATGGCTAGACCCTACAGCCCAATCCTGAGCCCACTCCTGTTCAGACCCTGCATTCCCACCCCCTCTCCTGGCCTGAGTCCCCATCCTGCACTCCAACTATTTCATCCCCAACCAGAGCCCTCATTCCCCTAACCCCGAGGCCCTTTCATGCTCTGAATCTCTCAGCCCCACCTCTGTTGGAAATCGTCCATGTGCAGAATGAACTTTATATGCATCAGTATAGAGGGGATGTGTAGCACATCATCTCCATATTGGTGCACATAACAAAATTAATTCCACACATAGATATAAAACATTTTTCACCCCAAAAGTTTCAGATTCCATCCCACCTGCCAATGATTTGGGTCCTTTTGTATTATAAGTCGATGTTTGTCTTGGATGAACTGCTGGGAAGTCTCTGAAGTTTGGGATGCGCTTTTTCAGCTGGAGCAAGTATGTAATCCAGAGGCTCTGAGACTGCTACAGGGAGTGAAGTTTGCTCAACAGCCTTAGCTAAGAGTGAGTTGGCTTTTAGTTGATGCTGTAGATAGTCATGGCCTTAGCCCCTAAGGGTCTAGGTTTAATCCAGTCTGCTGACAGCCTGGCTCCCTTGGCCTCAAATTTAAAGACGTATACCTAGCAGTTTCTTCTCTCCCGGGTAACAGTTATTTACCCTAGGTTTGAAAGTAAATAAAAATGATTGTATTAAGTACAAAAAGTAGTATTAAGTGGTTACAAATGACAGATCAAAGTAAATCACTAGCTAAATAAAACAAAATAAGCCGCTAAGCTTAATGCTCTTAAACATGTTACACGCAATTTCTCAGCCTGTCCGGTGGTACCTTACAGACTAACAGATGTATAGGAGCATAAGCTTTCGTGGGCAAAGACCCAGAAAGTGGGTCTTTGCCTACGAAAGCTTATACTCCTATACATCTGTTAGTCTGTAAGGTACCACCGGACTCCTTGTTGCTTTTGCAGATCCAGACTAACACGGCTACCCCTCTTAGACTTGTCACCCTAACAGTTTTTCTTTTCTCACAAGCCAGGCAACCTCCTAGCTTGGGCTTCAACTTTCTTCCTGTTCAGTCTTAGTTGTTTCCAGGGCTGATGGGGTACAGATGACGCCCGAATTGCAATGCGTTTGGTTCCTGGGGAAGCGTCACAAGACGGGGTGTTATAACTTGAATCCTCATTGATGATAGGCACCGTGCGCCATGTCAAATGAAGGCCGAGGCCGTAAGTTGGGGGCTTATGGCCCCTTTCACACTTTAAAAAATAGTTGTAAGTGCAGGGGATTGGAACTTGGGCAGTCAGAACTCAGGGGTTTCCTGTACTAAAGAGCTTTGGGAACAAAACCTCCTTAAGAAGCTCTCACTTTTCCCTGAGAGTAGGGCTACTCAACAAGACCAGGGCTTTAAAGAGCCAGCTCCTAAGCAATCAGAGGAGGTAGGGTGTAGGAGCGGATAACAGGAGTTTTGCGAGGTAGTTGGAGGCTGGAACTAAAAGCATTTAAAGCCAAAAACATCCCCCAGTGACAAAACAGTGAGTAAAAAGAGAATGCATGCAGAAGTCCAGGAACAGAATGGGAGTTATCCAGTTAATTTCACCCAGTGCAGCATGTGAAGCTGCATCTAGCCATGGAGCATCTAGCCATCTGAGATCATGTATGGATTTGGATATCAGAGTGGCTCAACTGGAGGAGCTACAGAAGACAGTTACCATGGATGAGAGTTTCTGGAACACAGTAGAATGATGTTGTTGAGGAGGATGAAAGTTGAAGTGAAGGAGAACATCTAACTAGAGAAGAGGAAAACGATCCCATAGTTGAGACAGTCCTTCCACATGATGTTGGGGTATCCTCTCAGGGGAGGGAACTCCAGTTATTAGAAAGAAATAGTAGTCATGGTTGATTTAATCAATAGAGACCTAGATACCTACGTTTATGATGGCTGGGAGAAATGCATGGTAATTTGCTGGCCTGGAATAAAGGTTGTGGATCTGTTGAGGCATCTAGATAGGCTTGTGTAGTGCTGGGGAGGATCCTGTTGTTATGGCACATGTAGGATAATTAGGTAACCATGCAGAGAAGGATAGAAGAGAGATCTTGGGGGCCAAAGTTGGGCAGCAAGGTAAGAGAGATTGAAGCCCAGGACCTCCATTCTCTGAAATGTTTTTAGTTCAACTCACAGGGCCAATTAGGCAGGACTGCAGGGTCTAAATGAGTGGCTAAGACAATAGTGTAGGAAGGAGGGATTTGGATTTATTAGGAACTAGGGAATTCTTTGGGAAAGGAGGAGCCTATGCAAGGAAGGAGGGGCTCTTACTAAGCCAAAGTAAAATCAGTTTGCTGTCACTTAGTTTAAAAACTGCTCTACAACCTTTTAAATATCAAGGGCTGCGGGAAAGCTGACAGGTGTGGAGGAGCTCATGGTTTAGACAGAGAGATCCCTAAGGGGAGGATCTATTAACGGAGATTCTCTCCGTCTGGTAAGAGGACAGGATGGAAGTTAACATTTGAGAGATTCCAAACTCTTAAGAATTTAACAGTGAGAGATTATTGACTACATGACCAGGATGTTGATAATGATTGTGAAATGCTCAGGGAGATTAGAGAAGCAATAAAAAACTCGAAAATAATGTTCAACTATCCTCATATTGACTAGGTACATTTCAGAAGGAGTTTCAGAGAGTTTGAGACCTTAAATGACTGCTCTGTGGAACAGCTAATCCTGGAACCCACAGAGGAGAGGCAGTTCTAGATTTAGTCCTAGGTGGAACACCAGATCCTGTGCAAGAAGCAAATCTAGCTGGACCAAGCCCTCTCTTCCCAAAAATACCTCTCTCCAGCCACGGCAACATCAGCAGTGCTGGGCTAGGACTGGGGGAAGGATTCCTGTCCACAGCAGTAGCAGGGTTGGGATGGGCTGGACCAGGGCCAGAAGTGGCTCTTTTGTCCCCTGGTAGCAGCAAGTCTAGGCATGGACTGGATCAGGGCTGGGACACCAGTCCATTTCCCCAGCTGCAGCATGTCCAGGCTGGAGCTGGATTGGGCACTGGTTGAGCACTGGTTCCTTTCCCCAGCCACTTCAGATATGTCTGGGGCTGTATTTGGAGAAGGGAGTCAGTGCCCTTCCCCAGCCACAGCAGGTCCAGGGGTGCAACTGCAGGTCTGGGGCTTCATAAGAAGCTGTACAGCCTTGAGCTTAGAGAACTTATGACAAAACAGAAAATGGCTGTATAAATCTGTCCTACTCCCTCATCTTCAATACGGTGTACAGATGCGTTAGAATTGGAAAAACTTCAGTAAAGGTAAAAAAAAAAAAGATTAAGAGTATGAAACGGCTTCCCTATGTGGAAAGATTAATAAGATTGGGACTTTTCAGCTTGGGAAAGAATGACTAAGGGAAGGATCTATTAGAGATTTATAAAATCATGACTTGTGTGGAGAAAGTTAATGGGGAAGTGTTTACTTGTTCTTGTGTTATGAGAACAAAGGGTCACCAAATAAAATTAATAGGCAGCAGGCTTAAAACAAAAGAAGTATTTTTTTTTTCACATGATGTGTAGTCTATCGATAGAACTCCTTGCCAGAGGATGTCGTGAAGGTTAAGCCTCAAACAAGGTTTTAAAAACAAGCTAAGTTCATGAAGGATAAATTCGCTCTTCATTTTGGTCAATTTCATGATTATATGATTTTTAAAATGATTTCACCTATTTAAACCTGAAATGTCACGATATTGTAATTATAGGGGTCCTGACCCAAAAATGAGTTGTGTGTGCTTGTGGGGGTGGGTTGCAAGGTTATTATGGGATGAAGTTACGATATTGCTACCCTTCTGTGCTACTGCTGGCATCAGCACTGCCATCAGAGCTAGGCAGCTAGAGAACAGTGGCTGCTGGTTGGGAGCTCAGCTCTGAAGGCAGGGCCACTGCCAACAGCAGTGCAGGAATAAGGGTGGCAATACCGCAGCCCCCAAAAATGTTGCAACTTCTCTGCTCCCTCTTTTTGGATCAGGATTCCCAATTTGAGAAATGCTCATTTCCTCTGTGTAATCTGTAAATTTGGGGTAAAAACATGCAAAAGACCAGATTTCACAATCCATGACTCATTTTCCATGGTCATAAATTGGTAGGGCCCTATCAATGACTATTAGCCATGATGGGCAGGATGATGTCTCTAGACTTTGTTTGCCAGATGCTGGGAATGGGCAATAGAGGATGATCACTTGATTACCTGTTCTGTTCATTCCCTTTGGTGCACCTGGCATTGGCCGCTGTCAGAAGACAGGCTACTTGGCTAGATGAACTTTTGGTGTGGCTGTGCTGTTCTCACCAACAGAAGCTGGTCCATAAATGATCTTGTCACCCACTTTGTGTCTCAGAATAGTGGATTGACTAATAGTGACTATTTAAGCAGTGATATAATGATGAATGTGTTGTGGTTTTTTTTTTTTTTTAAGATCTTAAACACTAGAAAAAAATCAATCCAGAAAATGTCTCCTCAGTGTCTGCAGTAACAAAACTTTCAGAAACGGGGACATCAACCTCCCTGCTGAAGACAAAAAGTAATGATGACTTTTTAGCAGGGATGGCTGGTGGTGAAGTGACTAAGGTGTCAAAGCAAAGAAGAGCATCTGCACATCCACAGCATCTTCAGCTTCAGGGACCACCATGAACAACCCTGAGAATAAACCCAAGACTATTGCAGGTACAAGGAGATATTGACCTCAAAGGGTTGTTTCCTGATTTTTTGTTGTTCTGTTATGAAACCATTGTGACTCTTCCATAGACAGTGTCCAAAATACATAACAAAGAGCTCAGAAAAAGCAGATCCAAATAGAACACACTACTCATGACCATTCTCACCCCATTCGTATTGATAAAATGTTTACCTGTAAAACCTTACTTATACTTTTTTATTATCGGTTATTTTATCTTTTTCAGTAGTGGTATTCTCTGAACCAATGGATTGCATAAATTCATGCTTCTGGAAAAATCTCCATTGTGGGCATTATTGGGTTTAGATAGGGGATGAATATTTTCAATACCAGGTGCGGTGTTAGGCTAGAAAATTTGTGTGTGTGTGTGTAATTAAGGATGAAGAATTTTGTAAACCCATCATGCAGGTATGACATTCTGTAGTTTATCACAACACTATTAGTAGACATATGTATGTTTTTGTTTTGGGGTCAATGAGGTTAATCAAAGTATGTTACCTTACAGTAAAAAAATGATACTACTGCTTTCTGGTTCAGTATTTTTAAGTACTGCTGGTGAGACTTTAAATACTTACTTTGTTCTTGGATCAGAATATAGAAGTTCTGAAAAGGGAGTTGTGTTCCAGCACCTAAGTGATGAGGGGTGTATGATCTAGAAGTCAAGAGAATATTCAGTACCGGTTGAACCTTTTTAGTCCAGCACCCTTGGGACCTGCCTGTTTTCAAACCAGAGAATGTTCTGGACCATGCGAGGTCAATATTGTGTAGCAGCATTACGAACACTCACTGCTTAGTGGGTTGTTAGAGGACATTTAGAGGTAAATTAGAGCTAAATAACACAGAACATGGAGAGCCCTGGTGACTGTAAACAAACTTTATAGGATTGCTGGAAACTTGGCCATTCCTACAGATGTTAAATATCAGTTAACTGAATAGTCAAGTAATCTCCTGAGTAACCTTATTGGTTAGTTGACTATTCTATAGTCCCTGGAGGTGGGGCTGGCAGCCACAGTGCTCCAGGCTCTCTCCTGAGGAGCCACCAGCCACTCTCTGCTGCTGCCTGTGTATCAGAGGCCTGTCCCCCGGTGCTGCTGCCTCTGATAAAGAGGCAACGGGGTGGCGGCAGCCCCTGTTTAGGGGGTGGTCTTAGCTCCCACACCCAATGCAAGCTGGGCTGCCTGTCCTCCCTGGCTTCTAATATGCTTTAAATGAAGAGCTACAGTGGGGGTAGGTCCTAGATCTGTTGCAAGCCAGGACTGAGCCAGGCAGCTGGCCATTCTGCTAAAAAAATGTACTGGGAAATTGTGTGTAGTCTGTAACATTAACCTATAAGCTTTTTTTAATTTATCGGTTAATCGACTACACTTCTACATCCCTAGCTGTGCCCATGAAAAGTGGCCATCTGATTAAAATCATTCTGGATGATGGATGTTTCTGGACTAAAGAGGTTCAACCTGTATCTTACATATAGTTACTTTTTCCTTAAATAATAAAAAAAAAACTTTGAGGAAGAATCTCTTTTCCTCTTGCAAGCAGTAGGTTCTTTCTTTTGAAGGGAGCTTGTCAGATATTGTAAAGAATATTTAAGCCTTATTTGAGACTCACATAGACTATACATACTTCATTTGCAAAAGTGTGGCTTAGAATGTCAGCCATTTTATAATCCTAACATATCGTTTTATGTGTAACTTCATATATGTGCTTATGCTGCTGATTTGTTTAAAAAAATTAATTTTAACTCATTTAACATACAGGTATGAGCTCCGCAGCCAAGCGTAGCACTTCATCTGGAAATAAAGAATCTAGCTCTTCTAGGGAAGGAATACGCGATCGTTCCCGTTTGAACCAAAGCAAAAAACTGCCCTTGACCGGACAAGGAGCAAATGATACCGTTTTGGCAAAACGTTCCCGTAGTCGTACTAATCCAGAATCAGATGTTCGGATGAGCAAGTCCAAATCGGACAATCAAATCAGTGACAAAGCTGCTTTGGAAGCTAAAGTGAAAGATCTTCTGACTTTAGCAAAAACTAAGGATGTGGAGATTTTACACTTGCGGAATGAACTCAGAGATATGCGTGCTCAGCTGGGCCTTAATGAAGATCAGTCTGAGGGTGATGAGAAATCTGAGGAAAAAGAGGCCATTGTTCAGCAGCCAACTGATGTAGAGTCTACACTATTGCAGTTACAAGAGCAAAACACTGCCATCCGAGAGGAACTCAACCAATTGAAGAATGAGAATCGAATGTTGAAGGACAGATTAAATGCATTGGGTTTTTCTTTGGAACAAAGGCTAGACAACTCGGAGAAGCTCTTTGACTACCAGTCTTTGAGCCCTGAGATCACAACTGGTAGCCATAGTGATGGTGGTGGCACTCTTACATCTTCAGTGGAAGGTTCTGCTCCTGGTTCAATGGAAGATTTGTTGAGTCAGGATGAAAACACCTTGATGGACAATCAACATAGTAACTCCATGGATAATTTAGACAGTGAGTGCAGTGAAGTTTATCAGCCACTTACATCAAGTGATGATGCTTTAGATGCTCCATCGTCTTCAGAGTCTGAAGGAGTACCAAGTATAGAAAGATCTAGGAAAGGAAGTAGTGGCAATGCAAGTGAAGTTTCTGTAGCTTGTCTGACAGAAAGGATACATCAGATGGAAGAGAACCAGCATAGTACAGCTGAGGAGCTTCAAGCAACACTTCAGGAACTTGCAGATTTACAACAAATAACTCAAGAACTGAACAGTGAGAATGAAAGACTTGGAGAGGAAAAAGTAATTCTCATGGAATCCTTGTGCCAGCAGAGTGACAAGTTAGAACACTACAGCCGACAGATTGAATATTTCCGTTCCCTTTTAGATGACCATCACATCTCATATGTTATTGATGAAGATATGAAAAGTGGGAGGTATATGGAGTTAGAGCAACGTTATATGGACCTTGCTGAGAATGCTCGTTTTGAACGAGAGCAACTGCTAGGTGTCCAGCAGCATCTGAGCAACACCTTGAAGATGGCAGAGCAAGATAACAAAGAGGCCCAAGAAATGATAGGAGCACTAAAAGAACGTAATCACCATATGGAAAGAATTATTGAGTCAGAGCAAAAAAGTAAGGCTGCACTAGCAGCCACCTTAGAGGAGTACAAAGCCACAGTAGCCAGTGACCAGATTGAGATGAACAGGCTAAAAGCTCAGCTGGAGCATGAAAAGCAAAAAGTGGCTGAGCTGTACTCTATACACAACTCTGGAGATAAATCAGATATACAAGATTTGCTGGAGAATGTCAGGCTGGACAAGGAAAAGGCAGAGACTTTGGCCAACAGTCTGCAAGAAGAGCTGGCTCTAACTCGCAATGATGCCAATCGATTGCAGGATGCTATTGCTAAGGTAGTGATTAAACTATTTAATTCGGTTTCTTACATGTATAAGCCTCCCTCTGCCGTTAGTTTTTCAATTTGTTCTTGGCTGTATGTGACTAATTAGAGCTTTGCCAGAATGTGCTTATTTTCAAAAAAATTTCCAATGGATCTTGTGTCCTTTTTAAGAATCTTTTACACTGAAGCTCACTTGCACTGGATTTCTCATAAATGTGTTCTCTTAAGGGGGAAAATAAATGTATAAAACCTTAGCTGGAATTAAGCAAATAGTTTTTAAATATTACCATTGTGGGACACCTCCTTAAGCAGGGGTAAATAACAGCCAAATTACTTAATGCTCCTTATCAATTACTGGCAGAAAATAAAAAATGTCTCAGGGCTTAAACTTTGTTTTTTGGAATCGGGTGTGTTTGTGCAGGGCATGTTACTCTTTTTCCTGGTTGCTTCTCATTTTAGTTTGAGAATCAGTGCTGTTCTGTTAATGCTTCACTTATATGTGTGGTAGATTCTGAAATATATTCAGCTCAGAAATAAGACCTTAACTATGAAAGTGGTGCGAACTGCTAGTTGCAGTTCAGGAAAAAGTTGCATGTCACACATCGTACCTTCATCCAGATACAGCAACTCCTAACATTCACATACAGCTTCTCAATTAACATAATGCTTCTTGGTATAAAATTTAGTTCTTACGTGACTTTGAAAAGTATTTTAAGGGTGGTGGCTGTGGCAGGAAAATGCTGTCCATTTTTATTTTGAGTTAATCTTTGTTCTGAATTAATTAGGTTCTCCTAATCGTTTTTCTTCAGGTTGAAGATGAATACAGAGTCTTCCAAGAAGAAGCCAAGAAGCAAATTGAGGATCTTAATGTGACTCTAGAAAAGCTTCGGGCAGAGCTGGAAGAAAAAGAGACTGAACGAAGTGACATGAAAGAAACCATCTTTGAATTGGAAGATGAAGTAGAGCAGCATCGAGCTGTGAAACTTCATGACAACCTCATCATATCTGACTTGGAGAGTAAGTGATATGAATTCTTTTTGATACTAGGGATGTAATAGTGTAGTCTATTAACCAATAATCAAAAGCTTATAGTTAATGCTATAGTCTACATGCATTCTCCCAGTGTGAGTAACCACCACACCCTTCTCCACCCCTGGGCAGGGGCTGCTGCCACCCTGGGCTGCTGCCCCTGTATCAAGCAGGCAGCTGGTCCATGAGGGGAGTTTTTAAATTGGCTCCCCTCATGGACTAGCTCCTGCCTGGCACCCAGCGCTTGTGCCTCTGATAGAGGCAGAAACACGAGGTGGAGGGCACTCCCAAGGAGTGGGGCTGGAGTGCAGTGGCTGTTGGCCTCCACCCTGGAGAGTATAGAGAAGTCAACTAACTGATAAAAATTCATGAGGTTAATCGATTATTCAATTAACCAGTATTTAACATCTCTACTAGATACATCATATTTTAAACTTCAAAACAGATGAACAGGATAATAAAAGCGCTTTAAATTATGATTTGCATATGTTTGATTTGGATTTCAAATATAACTTGTAGAATGAATCTTATAATGAACTCAACTTGACTTTGGGCTTGCATGATTAGTAGATGGGGATGGGGATGCATATGTGTAAATTGAGGAAAATATGAACTGGCAATTGAGAAATAAGTCTCAATGCCATATTGAATCACTTATCAATGAGAATATTGATTCATATTATGGCATATCTCTGTATTTGGGTGTTTGATTGTAGATTTAATTCTGTCTGGGAGAACCCAAGTTAATCTTATCTCTCCATTGTAGCAAAGTTTTTGTTTGTTGTATACAGTTAACTTTTGGAAGTTTATATAAATCTATGGATAGTTTGGTTATTCCTACACCAAGAAAATCCTCTCTGAAGGAAATGTATTTTTAGTGGGGAAATTGGACAGGGACCCTAAAGAATTTTTGTGGTTTCATCCATGTGTACTGCTCAAACTGTGAAAATGAAAATGAATTTAGCAGTTATGGAACAACGTTTTTCCCAACCTGCTTGAACTTTTTCTTGTTCTTAGTGTCCATTTCCCGAATAGTGTGTCAGTCTTGCCTAGCTCAGTGGGCAGTGTATCAGATGGAAAATCTGAATGTAGACTCGCGTGGTTATAGAGCTACCTGCACACCTCTTCTGGTCTGTCTTCTGGCCTTCCTCAGTGTATTGCCACAAGTGTGAGGCTTCATGCCTTTTACATATCTTGGTATGGAAGTCTGCATTTGCCCCACTTGGAGCCAAAGCCTTTGGTTTTCCAGTACCTTGTGGATTAACCATGTTTACCCAGCACATCTAAGTTCAGAGACCTTCAATTCTTCCCTTTGGGAGTCTGTGACTAATATCTGACTGTGACAAAACATCCTTACAATCAAAATTGTGCTTCTAAAACAACATTCTACATGCATCTTGGTCTAACTGAAGACTTGTATTCAGGAAATTTTAATTTCAGTAGGCATATCTTTAGATGATCCGTGTCCAGTCTACTTTCCCTGAACTGCTATTGTCTCTTATTCTTCTGTGTTCTTGGGCTTTGATTTTACTGAACTGATTTAGTCCACAAAGTTTAGCAGAAGATCATGCCAGAGTTCTCACAGCCAGTGACTCTATTGTTGTCACTTAAAATCATTCAGGTATTTGCTTTTGTGGGAACTTTCTTTCCCTTGTTTTGCCTTTGCGATCCCATATTAAATAATTGTATAGTGAACATCCCAATAATCAGACATGTAATATCCATAAAATATTACCAAACAGTTCCAAGTCTATCACACAGATCTGAGGCAGTATACTCAATTCAGTCAGTTAACAAACCTATATCTTGCTAGGCTCAGCTCCATGAGAAAATCCATATCTTTTGTCTTATGTGTTGTAGTTGAATTTTATGGCTAGTAATCTGGTATAATAGGCAGGAAGGAGAGAGACACTGAAGTAGCTGTAAAACATGGTAACTAAAGAATAATGTAATTAAAACTGAGTTTTCTATTAATCTCATAAATCTGTACCTTTAAAACACTCAATTTGTTATATCCTCAGATCTAAAATTTGTGCATTAGTTCTTTGATATCACTGCTTCCCATTAGGGGACTGGGTGGGTGGAAAGGAACATTTTGAAGAGGGGCAAATCTTTTTGGGGAATAATGCTCTAGAACAGTGGTCCCCAACCATTAAAACTGAGTTTTCTATTAATCTCATAAATCTGTACCTTTAAAACACTCAATTTGTTATATCCTCAGATCTAAAATTTGTGCATTAGTTCTTTGATATCACTGCTTCCCATTAGGGGACTGGGTGGGTGGAAAGGAACATTTTGAAGAGGGGCAAATCTTTTTGGGGAATAATGCTCTAGAACAGTGGTCCCCAACCATTTGGGGTTGCCGGGCGCCAGGGGGCGTCGCC